TTTTTTTTTTGTTTAGAAACTTTGGGCTATCATTTAAGTAGTCAGTAGAATAAATGAAATGGTCAGTAAAACAATCAATGACGTGTAAATTGAATGAATAATCAGTAAATTACTTAAATGATCAGTTATTAAAATAATTAGGCTTGTTGATAAATCGAAAAAAACAGTAAATTGAATTAAATAGTAAATATAAAAATTGAAATGTATTATAGTATGATTCTAATAGATGATATATATGTATATATATTAGAAAAGAAATGATAAAAGAAATTAAAGTGCTTCAATTAGCCAATGCTACAACTGTATTGAAATCAGCACCAATACTAGTTATAAAGAAATGAAATATGAACAACAAACAAAAGCCAATTAGTAATAGATTTCTTTTGTTATTGTGATAATGATATGTTCAAACAAAATGATGATTGGCTTGAATGTATACAACTGTATGCACCAAGCCCAAATAAGGTCCTAGAGGCAAGCAATAAAAGAATAAAAAATGATGGAAGATTTAGAGAATGTCATGTTTTCTAAAGTTTTTCACAATAGATTTAAACACTGTCGATAATTAGTCATTTGAACGAGATTCTTCCTCAATCACCACAAAAATATTTGCCATAAAACCAACAATATCTTTACAATTATGAACTTTAACGTATCAATGGGCTAAATCAACCAAAGATTTAATTAGCATTTTCCATGATTTTTCAAAAACATATGATATACCAACTCGATATTGACAATCGATTATACAAGTCAATTTAGATGAATACAAAAGTAAGAAGTCAACAAATTTTACTCAATTCAAAAAATTATTTGATATTTAGTGTATGGAAATGGAGAACGATTCAAACTAGAACACATCAAGATGCAACTGTCTAGCTTTTTTCTAAGAATTATTTATACAAACACGTTCTTTGTATGGTCATTCGCTTGAAATATTGAAAGTCACCTGCAGCTACAAAAGCAACGTCACTTGATCTGAAAAGAAAAAAAAGTAGAACAGAAAACATTTAAGTTGTTTTGTTAGTACAATAATTAAACTTTCATTTTCTTTTTTTTTCGTTCAATCTTTGAATTTCTATTTATTGTATTTTTGGATTTCTTGTCATCTATTCTGTGTTTTTTTTATTATTTAAATTTACTTTTTTTGTACTAAATTAATCCTTATATGAATAGAGTTTATTTTTTGTGCGGATAACCTGATCATTTTCCTACTGATCATTCAATATTTACAATGATTATTTGTATATTTTTTTTTTACTAATCATTTCATTCATTTTACCGAGGACAAATCATCCAGGGGGAAATAGCGGGTGTGGATGTGTGGGTGTGGGTATGGACGTGGACGGTTTAGAAGAATATTAACATCCACACCCACCCCCACACGATTTATCGCCGATTTTCAGAACTTCGGTAGGAACATTTTTCTCTTACCATTTGCCGCAAATAGAGAGCCAAATGATGCACCATTAGACCAATAAACGATCCGATTATTATTATTATCTGATACATAGATATTACTGTTCTCATCGACAACAATACCTAAGGGTCCACGCAGATAATTCAAAATTAATCCTCCGGTTGCATTAGTTTGATCAGCAACTGTTGTACCTGTCGACATGTCCATCAAAAATTTCTGAACTCGATTGTTTTTCTGATCAGTCTCGTATAATGCATTAGACCAATCCAATGCTAGATCCCATGACTGATTCAGGTGATTAGAAGTATTTCTAGATGTATTTGTTACACCGGCTATAGTAATTCCAGATGTATTCCATCGAAGCACTGCTACTTTAGCTATGAAAGAAAATCAACAATATATGTATGCTAGTTTGTAGTGATACTTCTAGAAAATCTTCATTGAACTTATGTTGAATAATTTTTCTAACGATTTTAAGCTAAGTATATATTCGAACTGTATTTTAATCCTATTCGTTAAAACAATTCTTTGATACCTTTGTTTGAAAATGATTCTGACAATTTCTCTCCTATGATATGTATTTAGTCTATTGATGATAGTACTTTGATATCAACTATTTGAATAAAAAGGTAACAGTTTCTGCTAACTTATAAAGAATTTCATTAAAATAGCTCGAAATTAACAGACAGTGTTTGGATATTAATATGAAAGATAACCTACATGATTCAGCTGAAATTTTTTATGGGTCAATTCTAATATGAAAAATAGGAGAAGAATATTATCTTACTATTAGTACTTGTACTGATTGTTTGGGATTTGATCAAAAAAATGAGAAGTGTTGTGATGACAACCGCAATAACAAGAAGAATACTAATAATTAAGGCTACTACATATTGTTTCGAACATCTATATATGATAATATAAAGCATATATCAAAAGTTCAAAGGAATGGAAACATTCCATAACTGATAAGAAAAAAATTTACATTTTCTTTTGATTATTCTTTGGATCCTGATGATGATCATTTGTAACATTGAAATTATCCGACCATACATCTTTTCTCTAGTTGTTTTTTTTTTGTTTCAAAATCAACAGATTATAAAAAGAAATTAAAAAAAGGTAATTACTGCATAATGAGCCACTTTAGATGACTTTTATCGAAATTTCCTAATTCTCGAGATTGTTACATCAAGATCATTCCTTTTGTGTTCAAATGTCTATTTGTAATATTAAGAAAGATATTTTATTTTGAATATCAGATTAAACTTACTTGAGATCGGAGAAGAAGATGACGATGAATTTTATTAATACTAACAGAATCTACTGAACTCGATTGAAATTCTGATGATTTCTGAGTAATGGATGAATTTTCTGATTGATCTCAATAATCATCAGTACGACTAATATTTGAAATCTATATCAATAAGAAAGAAATATAAAACAATCAAAAATTAATAAATGTCTGACTGAAAATAAATTATTATTCCTTTGCATAGAATTGTTGTTGATAGACTAACAAATGTGTAATGGTCGAATAGTCGCACGAATGATGCTTTTAGATCTTGTTTTCTTTATTGACGAATGATCGTGATAAATAAAACAATCTATTACAGTATGAAGAAAAAAAAACAGATCTAATGAAACTAACATTATTTGAGAATGTTTCAAGATGATGATCAATGGCAGAATTGTTGAGATGTGAATGATCGAAAATTTCATATTCTAAAAATGATAATTCAGATTTAAAACAATGAAACAAAGTATTTCACTATCTGTACTTGTGTAAAACGATATTCGTCCAGTTATTCTTGTCAGTATCTTTGTAAATGTGATAGAATGATTCTTTGATTTAGTTTTTCAATCAAAAGAAACTATATAACTGATTCTTCTAACGCCATGAGTCAAAACATACTAAGAAAGAAAATTCAATCAAAAATACACTTATTGTAATGAAATGCGTCATATGAAATTATTCTATAGTTCACAATAGCGTTTATATAAATTCATAAAAACAGCATCAATAAAAAAAAAAGAACTTCATCTTTAATTCATTCTATCGTGAACATATAGGTGTGCATCTGATGATTCTATCAAGACAAAGCGAGTAAGGTCAAAGACTTTATAATACTGGAAAACATAAGATTATTATTTGTGACCGCAGGCATTTTTGTTATATTTTCTTTAATTATCTTTGATTAAGTCTGTTAATTGGCTATTTAGTGTCATTGGCCACAAAGGATTAACATATGATTACATTATATTTATATCGTTACATTCCTGAGTACCATCTAGCAGCCGATGATATTCCATTCAATACTATTAAATTCTCAAAATTAACGAAATTCACAAATGATGAAAAACACAAAGAAGATCAAGAGCATAACATTTTATTTTTAAATTTATTTTTCTTCGTCTTATCTAAATAGAAACAGCAAAATCTCAAGAAATTTATTTTACTATATTTTTTATTTCCATATTTGAAGTTGACAAACATTTTCTTCATGCTCGTTGTTCTTAAAATTGAAAGGTAATCAATACATTGTATAAAGAATTCTATTTGAAATTATAGCAGAAGATTATATGATGGAGTATTGAAAGAGTTCTAGATGTTTCTTTTTTTCTAATGATCTGATAGAATCAAGAGAACATAAAAATTCTATCTCAAATATTCAAAACATAAGGTGTGGGTATGTGGGTGCGTGTGCATATCAGAAGAATAGAATCAGATACTCACACCCACGCCCTTCTTCCATTTTTATTGGATTACAGTTTTCAATCTATGCAATGCTGAAACTTTACTTATTCATATTAGTTCTTAGATACTATTCCATATTAAATATTCCTTAAAGCAATATCTGAAATCCCTTGGATAATCACTTGTTTGGCATTATAACTTGGATGTTATCTTCTTGTACATAAATTATTGTCCGTCTTGCTACATGACTCTAATCATTGAATTGATGAAGATTTGTTTTCTTTCATTTATGAGCATGAAATAATCGTGTAATATCATTTTTAATACATGATTTTATAATATAGTTAATATGATATCTTCTAGTAATTATAGAACCAAGTGCAATCAAGGGTATAGATATGAAATACCACAAATAACACAACAATGTATTTCCAATACCGATATTAATATAATATCTGACAGTGATTACAGAAATAGTTGAAAGAGGCAATAGTGTTGTGTTACTACACAATGCTGACGAACAGAAATTGATTTTTTGATGTTGTCATTAGCATGATTAGCGCCGATTTCTAATTTTATTGATGATCCTGATAATAACTGCTTTTAGTATTCTTTAAATCATAAAATATGAATTTTTCCCACAATACCTTCGATATCATCAGATATTCATCTACAAAACATTCGTCAATCCGTATCAAAATATGATGAAAAGAATGGTAATATGAGAACAATAAACTGATATAACAATTATGAAATCCTGTGTGATTGTTGGTGAGTAAAATATTGAATGAAACAATTTTTATCGGAAAAGCGAAACCTTCAATGTTTAATTTGATCATTTTGTGTTTAAACAACGAATGCTAAAATAATAAAAACTGATAAAAAACTATATGTTTTCCGATAAATAAAAGCAGCATTGTTGTTCGTGATTATTTGTTTTTGGCACTGGACTGGTATAAAATCTTGATATTCTGGTAGAGTATCAAGAGGTTCCACCTCAAATTGTCCTGCTCCAGCAAAAACTGCTACACGTGGAGCTTTATTGTAATATTCTTGCCATTGTTTAGCCGATTCTGGTGTCCATTTCAAATCGAGGAACCATTTTTTGGCAGCAAAATAATCAAATGGTGCTCTATTTAATAAATTAAACTCAATTTTCAATATTCTATTCAATGAAAAAAAAATTACGAAGAATTGATGATATCTTGTAATGATTGAACTGTATTCATCGTGTAACATACAGAAAGATCATCCATTCGAGGATAATAAGTGAAAAAATGTAAACACATTTCTTCTCTTGTTTTTTCTCCACCCTAAAAATTCTTTTTTTTTTGTCAATATCAACAAAATAAATAACATTCATACCAATGTAATTTCATTTTTGTTCATTGTATTATAAATGCATCGAGTAGCAAATTCATCTCCCTTAAAAACAGTAACAAAATTTAAAACGTAAAAAAATTCAATCATTTTTTTTTACTGGATAAAGTTGTATTGGTTTTGCTAGACGGTTTTCAAATTGATAATTAAAATGATATGATTCAGCATTAAATAGATATTCAACAGCTGTCTTATTACGAATTAATTTAGTCCATAAACTAACACCTAAATTGAAAATAAATTTAAATATTTCTGATCGTAACATATCATGTTTTCTATGAATATTTCAAAAAACTTAATGAAATACAAATATAGATGATACACTGTCGTACCTTTATTATCTTGAATCTACCTTTAAACGAATATATAATTGATATCTTCATAACCTATGTAACGATATCCACGGATACAAAGGATACTTAATATTACACAGAAGCAAATAAAAAGAGAATCAATTCTATAATATCAAATACATGTTTTTACATATTTTTCATTTCTAATATACCAATAAAACGTCTAATTATCCCATCTCATGAGAAAACACATGTAGGGTCGTTACATCACATGTGGATACCATGCAAACACAAACTCGTAGTGCTTCGGATGAATTTTTGGTCATACGAAAACGGAAGGAATTGGGTCTTTTCAAGTCTATCGGGTCATAATTATTCATTGGTAGTTATGAAACTTTGCTACTATAGTCACTTCAAAATGTCTAGTTGTCCGGATTTTATCAAAAGAAGATTAAAAGGATGTGGTGAGCCATGTTTTTTTATTTATTTAGACTCTAAAAGTCTTTTCTCAAGCCTACGAAATCGTTGTAGGTTTTTCCAAAAACCTTTTTTTTATTAGAAATTGTGAAAATAAATGAGAAGGAATGCTAGAGCTTCTTAAAGAGTTTATACATCTAGACGTCACTTAATATCGAGAGGTGCTCGATAGCTCCTAGGTCTTTATCTTTCCTCTATCTCTCGTACAAAAGTCGTTTTCAAACACAATGGATGTAGCTGTTTTTTGACTAATTTCTGATAGGAACTAGATAGAGCCCTCGAGCTTTCATCGTTCAAATGAGGAAATCAATCTGTATTGAATCTTGAATATTAGACATTTCTAATAAGTTTTCTCGGGCTCTTCTATCGAGTTTTTTTTTGAAAACAACACATTGCTTGATACAAAAGGTTTAGTATTTTAACTTTTAGTAGTGCACTAGAATTATTATCTGAAGGTTAGGAATGTACGAAAGTTGGATGTTGAAACATTCAACTAAAACGAGTTATTAAAACTTTATTACGTGTTATCGACAAATTTTTCACGAAAAATTAATTTATATTCTGATTTTTTGACAAATAATCCAGTTTACAAATCTATTTAAAAGTCTCGGTTTTTTTGAAAAAGCTTCGCGAGATATCCTGAATAAAATTTTCAGAAAAGTCTAATATTCAAGATTTAATGCAATTTCATATCCTCTTTTCAATAATGAAAACCACAGATGCCTATCTAGCCTCTATCAAAACTTACTCAGAAAACAGCAACGTCCATTGTTTTTTTTTGAAAACGAGTATAGTACTTAATTGAGTTTCCGAGGATATCCTGAAAAACCATTTAATCAACTATAATAATCTTTTACAATACCTTGTAAATGAGTATGTGGAAAAGAAGGTAATAGTGTTATACCCGATTTTGGAATAGTCTAAAAAGGAGGTTTTCTTATTTATTTATTTATTTATTTATTAGTTTGCATTGAAACATACACGAGTGACATTACTTGGACAATAAGAATCAACTATAAATTTTTCGACTTTTGGCGGAATAGCAAGACCAAGAAGACTTGAAACTGTGCCAAATGTTAAATATCCAAGATCATGCTGACGAAGTTGATTACCAAGATAATATCGAATTCCAGTACTATCACGACGATCTAATTAGAATATAAATTGTTTTTATTTTTTTAAAACAAAATCTTGCTGTACTTGAAATTTGTTGTGGATTATCATAATGTATTTGAACCATAAAATATTTATTTGGAGAATTCAAACCAACTGGATATCCAGCTTGTTCAGGAAATTCAATCAACTAAAATATAGTTATTTGATTATTTAACATTGAATGTAATTGTTGATATTCATGATCACCACCAACTGCCCATCCAGTAGCTATACTAGCTGAACAAGGCTCGATTTTATCATTAATTTCATCACAAACTCCGTTAGGAAGATTGTTATCATCAAAAGTAAATGAAGGATTACATTCATGTAAAAGTAAATGATTAACGAGATCGGAGTTTTCATCATCAATCAATATTTTGTACTATTCAAATAAAAAGAAAGTTTTTAGTATCATCAAATGGTTTATTACATACAGCAATAGCATGTCGTTTTGTTGTATAAGAAGTTGGTGCTTTGTAAATTTTACAATAATATGTTGTATCATTTGATGGAACAATGTACTTAAAAAAAATAATTAAATTAAAATATTTAATGTAATCGTTTCACTAACATTGTTTAAACGAAGTTCAAAATAATCGAGTCCAGCAAATTTATCATCCGATGGCGGTTGATTATAAGATTGAAGTGGAACCATACGTGTACCTCGACGAGTTTCATGATAGTTTATCTCAGATTCATCGGGATCAACAAGACCATATGCATATATCAAAATATTTGTTCCACTCTATTGAACAAGAATCAAGAGATTAAAAAAAAGAGTACCTCAGTTTGGAATTTTCTGAAGAATAAGTCATCTGAAAAATTTATAATTTCTAGGATGCATAGATCTTGATAAGTAGAGCAAAAGTTGCTACAGATATAATACTCTTAAATGATGTCTTTTATGCAATACTAGAATCATTATGGCAAAAAATGGCCCCAATTTTAATTCGATTTCTGCAAGATGTAGTATACGATGTGTTTTAGAGGTATCAAACATTGTTTGGATTGGAAATTTTCTATTTTTGCCTTTCGGTAAAAAAGAAAAACTAAAATAACTAAAGTACTCTAAAAGTCACGTTTGTTTTAGTAGAACTTTTTTTTGTAAGATTTACCAAACAGCAGTAGAACAATATTTTTTTTTGAAATAAAAATAAAAAAATAGCCGTTTTAAACATTGTTTATTATATGTGAAGCATGCTTTAGCTTGGTCAGACGCATTTGATCAAAGAGACTGGAACATTTCTTCATTCTTTTCAGGAAAATATTTTCAGAAAAATGCACATTTCGCTGTTTCCACTATGTAAATTTCATTTCTTCTCGAATTTTTTATCGTTTGAAGGCAATTTTTGAATCTCAAAATGTATTCAGTAGATAGATACCATTTAAGACTATACAAGGTCGATAGAAAACGAAAACTGGAGTCACAAGAGAGTGTTGAACTCTTAAACTGATGACTTAAGAAAAATGAGTTTTCAGCTAATTCTAATCAAGCGTATAATCCAAAATGAACTTTATGTTGGTTGTCGAGAACTTCATACACTATCGATTGGTAATTAAATAAAACCATTTCTATGTAGCGTATGGTCGAGCTAGTTAAAACAAAAAGTCAATTTTTCAATTGCCCAACCTTTCTTTCAAAATCCTGCATTAGCAAAGGCTCTGAATATTTATTCGGTCTTGAAACTCATATATATATGCTAGATGCTCATGAGTTAGACAAAGTACTTTATAAAAATTATGAATGAGATACTAGATTACTACCCTCATGAGTCTACAATATCCATCCTGGTGAACATTGCGGTGAGGGGAGGAGGAGAGTGACATGAAAATGATCACTTTCAATAAACAACATTACTCCTGTACACGCATAGAAACGGTTTGTTTTGGCTATCGAATGGTATTTTTGAGAAACAAGAACGCTAATTGGAGTATAGGGTGTCCGGAAAGTCCTTAGAGTTACAAAAATTTGGATATCTCCATTATGGTTATACTAAACGAGCTCATTTTTCTAACAAAGATTGAGGCATGTTCACACTCCAAATTCATATGGACAAGGATATTGAGAATCTTTGTTAAGTATCGCTATTGACCGCAACAAGAAAATTTTACTGTTTCACAGTTAGAAAAACAAACATTACATAGGATCGGGCAAAAGACACTTTATTGAAAAGACAATTGACTCTCTCCATTATGGCTTGAGCGAACCAACTGATATTTTTACCCAGGATAGAGGCATATCCACACTCCAAATCCATACTCACAAAGTTAGTGAGAACCTTTGTTAAGTATATGGTTTTTCTTCCTCTCTGTGGAACACTAAAATTTTCTTGTTTAAGTCAATAGTGATACTTAACAAAGATTCTCAATACCCTTGTCCATATGGATTTGGAGTGTGAACATGCCTCAATCTTTGTTAAAAAAAATGAGCTCGTTTGGTTGAGCCGTAAAGGAGATATGAAAATTTTCCTAACTCTAAGGACTTTCC